AAAATATAAATCTTTTCTAACAATATACACTACAGTTCAAAAGTTTTTTAAATTAAATTAAAATTAGAAATTAAAACTTTTATTCAGCAAGGATGTGTTAAATTGATAAGAAGGGATAGCAAAGATTTATATGGTTAGAAAAGATTTATATTTTGAATAAATGCTGTTCTTTTTTACTTTTTATTAAGAATCCTGAAAAAAGTATCGCAGTTTCCCCAAAAAATATTTGGCAGCAAAACTGTTGCCAACATTGATAATTCTAATAATAAATCAGCATATTAGAATGATTTCTGAAGGATCATGTGACACTTTAGACTGGAGTAATGGCTGATGGAAATTCAGCTTTGCATCACTGAAATAAATTATATTTTAAAGGATATTAAAATAGAAACCATTATTTTATATTGTAATAACATTTTGCAAGATTACTGTTTTTTTCTGTATTTTTGATCAAATAAATGCAGCCTTGATGAGCATAAGAGACTTCTTTAAAAACATTACAATTCTTACTGATCCCAAACTTTTGACCGGTAGTGTATCTGACATCGTAGCAACTGCATAGCAACACAGTAAAAACAATTCAGAACACCCTAGTAACTGTACAGCAGCAAGTGTTTTTACAGACCAGCAGCACTGTTGTTTTTTCAGAAAATTTGAAAATCTACATGCCAATGTGTGTTTGTGTCCGCAGAGAAGCCGAGAGCTCCGTGTGTGTTCAGACAAACACCACAGCCGGTTACCTGCAGGCCGTGGACTCGGCCGGGACCCCCCTGTGTCTGTCCTGCCAGAAGCCCAGCAGGGAGCACCACTGCTGGGCAGGAGGCTTCTACAGCCCTGCCTGGACGGAGGACTTCCAGCTGCGCTCCAATCAGGGCTACATGCGCACCCGCGTGCTGGAGACAGAGCAGGGTGTGTGTCAGCACTGTGGACTCAACGCCCACCAGCTGTACGTGCAGGTCCGGGACGCCCCGCGCACACACCGCAACGAGATGCTGGACAACACCTGGCTGGCACAACTCCCTCTCAAACAGGTTGGGCTCATTTGTAGGAGCCTCATCTGCATATTTGGTCATTTTTGCATCCATCCATCCATTTTTATAACTGAAATGCAATGTGCAATACAGTTTCAGCATTTTTACCTTAATTAAAGCAGTCACTGTGCTCTCCCAGCTATTAGATGTCAAGACTAGGATAAATAACAAAAAATAAAGATACTGCACTCAAAATGTTTTTATTATCCCCTAGTGTGGATTGTATGATAAACAAAAGCCTAGAGTGCAGACTGCCATTGTTATGCATTACTTTTAGTATTTTTAAGTTGCCTTCTTCAAAATGTAATGCTTGCATAAATATGCCACAAAATTATTATTATTATTATTAACACTATTTGTGGCTAATGTTATTTGTTGATGTTAAATATAATAGCTGCTATTATTATTATTATTATTATTATTATTATTATCATCATCATCATCATCAAGAAATAATCAGTAGTAGTAATAATAATAATAATAATAAATGCTACAAATACTATGAATAGTTTTTAAAACTACATAAGACGCAACAAAAGTAATAATATTATTATGATTATCATCATTATTTTTAATAACAATAATAAAATATTTAAGTTTAAAAGTCTTATAAATGTAATGCTTGCCTAAATATACCTCAAAATATTAATAATAATAATAGTTGTTATTAAACCATATTCATGGCATATTTTAACTATTATTTTATTGTTTTTAATATAATAATGTTATTTTATTATTTGTTGATGTTAATGAATGAATAAATAAATAGATATTGTTGTTGTTAAGAAATAATAATAAATATGCCACAAAATATTATCATCATCATTAATAAAAAATTGTTATGATAAAATATTTAGGGCAAATGTTTATTACTTAAACAATTATTTAATAATAATAATTATAGATATTATCATTAGCATCATCATCTACTCTTCATATAGAAATAATTTTCTTTTTCTGATTTTTCTTTCTTTAGAATTTTCTTTAAAAAGTAATCTCTGATCTTTATCCGTGTCCACAAAACCAGTCGATTACCCCTCCTCGTACCTCCTGCTCAAAAGCGTCCTCTGGTAGGATCTGTGTGAGGTGCATATAGCACCAGGACTAATTTTGTCTGGGAAGTTGCCCAGAGTTTGGGAAAAAGCGCGTTTTAGTCTTTTCCAACAGCACATTAGCCGGAATTATCCCCAAACATTCGCAAGTAATTCGGCAGACGCTGCATTTTATTGAAAAATATTGCTTACAGAGAAAGATAAATAAAGATGGCCTGTTTAGCTTGCAGAAGCAATAAGAGCTTAGCGGCCTTGGGCATCTGCTCTCTGACTCTCTCTATAGAGTTATCAGTGCCGTTCACACTCGTACTGTGTCTTACACACACACACACACACACACACACTCACACAGCCACCATCCTTTCCTCCCTGGAGCATCCAGCGTTAACACAATGCCTAGTCTGTCAGATTGCCATTGATTTTTCCCACAGTGCATTGCTATGAGGTGCAGGTTTGATTTTTGTTCGGCTTTTCTCGGCAGCGGCCTGATCAATAACGCACTTTAAGCTCCAAGTGCCCTCGACGCACAAACAAGCCCACTGTCGTAACGCATACGGAGAACGCTTCGTGCGTGTTTGCCGTTTCCTTGCATTAGCATGTGGTTTGGCGCGTACGGGTTGACTTATTGACATTCAAGGTCTAGTAAGGAAGCTTTCCGCTCTCGTAGTGGGAGGTTATCGTCCGTGTCGCGACCCTTGAGATTTAGGATAATTATCGGCCGGCTCTGTTGAGGGGGAAGGAGAGGATTGATTAGGTTTTCTCCAGAGACCGTGAGGCTAAAAACAGCCGCGTGCTGAAATACCAGCGCTTTGGCTTGGTCCTCCTTACGTTCCCAGCGCTGATCTTCCACTCGTGATTTCCGTGTATTTCCACTCCAGCTTTAATCCTGCCGAACACCTGGAGTCCTTCACCGCAGCGGCCTGTTGAAAAGCCTTTGGAATGGGGGGAATTACGCTTCCTAGAGTTTCCCGATGGGCTATTCAGAGCACTTTCATGTGACGGTTCAATAAAACAACAGGAATAAAAAGGATCTACACACAACAACAACACCACTGTTGAGGCACTCAAGACTCTCTCTGGGTGGTGGAGACTTTCAAGTGCTGGATTCTTTAAAAGACAGACCTATAATTGTTTTTTTTTTAATAAGTATTCACATTTTTTTAACCTAATCTGTTATTGATTCTTTAGTATAGTGTTCAACAGGAAACAACAGTGTCAATTTAAGTGTAAGAGTTAGATATAGCCCCAAATCACAAAAACTATTATTGTTATCAAAAAATATTGTTTTTGTTATTAATAGCAAACAGTTTTTTAGTGAATTATTTAAGTTGTGGTGGTTCTTATTAAATATTTTCATAAGACAAAAAAAAAAAAAAAAAGAATAAATATAATTTTGTTAATAGAACATAGTGTTAATGTTTCCAAAATATTATTATTATTACAACAATTTCTTATTATGTGTAACTTTTTTATTAATAATGGTAATGTTTTTATTAAAAGTATTGTTAATATTGTTTTAATCCGATAAGAATGCTAATAGAAGAGAGATCAATATTTACATTACAATATTATGTTTTCAACAATAATAATAATAGTGTTGTTGTGTAGCTATTGTTATACAAATTAAGTTTTTCAATAAATAAAAACGGGTTCTTCATATCGGTTATCGGCCACTTAGGCATAAGAATAATCTGTATTGTATGGGTCATGTGAGAAAGATCTGTCTGCCATTGTGTGTTGCAGCTGAATGAGATGATTCAGGTTATTTACCAACATCTGCAGTATTTGAGGACTGTTACTTAGCCAATTGGGTAGCTGTTTTTAATCACTGCTCTCAGCATGAGACAAAAGAGCTTTTATATTCGATGTGTTCAACCATAAATTCTATAAAATCACTAAATAAACATGCTACAGTCACATTTAGTCATCTTGTTCTACATTTAAACAAAACCAGAGAACTGAAATTCGGAGTAAATGAGTCGATGTTCGTTTGGAGCATGTAAAACTAACTCTTTTTGGACCGTGAACTATTTGTGTTGCAGGTTTACAGCGCAGCTCTTCAGACTGCCGCAGGACGTGCTGGCGTGAGATGTTTCCCAGTGTCTGCTAGGTTTTTTTGGGTCAGTGCAGAGATAGGAGGCTGTGTGGAGCAGCAGTCAGGCAGGACAGGATGTTCTGAGGGCCGGATGACTTTCATGAGTGTCTATACAGCGTGATAAAGCTTATCTCTCCTACACGAGAGAGAGAGAGAGTGAGAGGCAGACTGGCACCAGATGCAGGGTAGGTTATTCTTATACTGCTGAATACACTTACAAGAAACGGGTATGTTAGTTGCATTCACATTTGATTTGATTTGCGGGGTTGTTTTAACCTCTCTTGATAGCGTTTCGAATTTGATCAAATTCAACTGGAGAAAAAGATTACCCGACAGAATGAGTGAAATAAAAGTTCTCTGTTCCATGCTTATGTACCAAAAATAATAATAGCAATCATTATACTAATGTGTATATATATATATAGTTTTTTTTTTACCATTAATAATTTTTCCCCCTTAAGTTCAAAATATGTTTTAATATATATTTAAGAGTTATGCAAACATAGGATTACCATTTTTATACTTGCAATCATTTATAACTATATAGTCACAATTTAT